AGATCGGTTTGAACCTAGTATGATCGAATGGAAAGCAGAAAAGGTCGCGGCTTTCGATAAATGGGCAGGCTTTCATGATGTTGCACAGCAGAGTACCGGATTCAACACACAGATCAAGGCAAAGACAGACGACGACGATAATGATCGTAATGTTAATTTACCTGATTTTATTCGAGAGGCGATCAAGCAAAACATGCCCATTTTCGAAACATTGCGAAAATTTAAGATGCTTGTTTGAACGGAACAGAGGTCATTTTTAACTCGTTCTGGATGAATGATACACCATATGTATCACAGGCTTTTCTTTTTGAACGATAAAATATATTATGGATTGATGATCGAATATAAAATTTAGACAAGTTAAAAATGACGAAAATATTGATTTTGTTCTGTATAAATATCAATTGATGCAAGTTTAACTCAGCAATACATAAAGGAATAATTAGTATCAAGGTTTTTGTACTCTATATTATTTTGATAACTTTAGAGATAATTATAGAATTCTACATAATTGTATAAATAGTTCATCTATTAAATTTTCATTTGGGCTTCAATAAAATTAGTTTTGAATTACTTTACAACTAATTCTGCCGAAGTCACTGTTACTTTCCTCATAGCTCCGCCAATTGAATGAAATAGTAGTACTTATTTCATTTGTTTTTCTCATGATTCAATATATCACTACGGTCCAAAACAAAGAAACAAACCAATCAGAATATTTGGTCATCATACTATTTCGTAAGCTGAATAAAACAAACTGGAAATATTAATTATTCAAAATGTAATCAATATCAGTAGATATTGAACAAGAAAGTATTAATAATATATTTGAAAGTTTTGACTTGATGAAAAGCGTATTTGTCATTGAGTAAATGTCACTCCAGCTGAGCTAAACTTTATGAGCACATGCATTTTCGATTCCTTTCAATTGTTAAATGAGTTAAAGTTTTCTGAATGTTTTAGTTTAACTATGAGAAATTCTCATTTGGAATACTTACTTGTCTTGATCATACGCTCATTTGTTTACTTGAATTGAAACTATTCTACCATTGATTTTCTAATAAATGAATTGGATGGTTAATTTTTTTGTTAAATATTTATTAGGTTCTGGATTGAATTAAAAACTCAATCATTTCTTTGCTTTATGAAAACCACTAAAATTTAAATATATATAAATATATTTATTCAATATTAATTAATTAAAAAATAAAAAGGAAAACTTTCAAACAACCGTTTAAGTGCTAAATCTAATAAATTTTGACAACTAGTTGAACGCCAACCTGAATCAATGTCTGAATTTTCAAGTGATGTTTGAATAAGTGAAGACTAAAATAAAAATCCAACATTACAGTTTTTTTTAATTTACTTTATCAAGTAAATATTGATCAATCAAAAATCGCTCTAGTTAACTGGTAAAGTTTATCGGTTTTATTATTTCCATGACGTTGAAATCGATGATAATGAAGATACGTGCATGACCATCAATTAAACGAAGTATTTCAAATTGTTCAGTTTCTTTAATTAGAAAAATTTCATTTGAATAAAAATAGAGATTGTATCAGTGCAGCTTGTTGAGGACTATAGTGTAGAACTTACATATGTTCTTTAGCCTCATTATACTCATACAAAACATTTGAAATCAAAAAATTTCTACCAGATTATAAAGGAATGCATGAGAAATTAAATTTTACCCGTTTTTGCTTTTTAAGTTACTATGATTTTCATATTTTTTCAGTCCATATCACATTTAAAAGCTTCTTTAACATTCGTTTCCTTTTTATTTATACATTTAAAGTCATACAATATTTAACTATATAACCTTTAGTAGCAGTTGAGATAACTGCTTTTCTCATAGTTCCCGGTAGAGCACGTTGAGTACGAATCGGGTTTCGTAGTTGATGATGGCCAGCTAACGACCATCCTTTGATGTAGAGGATTCAAAATGAAACGTAAAAGAAACCCGATATGCAATTGGAAAGGTCATTATCGATAGTCTTTAAAACAGATGTTGCTAGCTCTTGGGTATCTGCTTGTCGCCCAGTATTAGCATCTTTTATGCTTTGAGTGATTCTCTTCCTAAACAATTGATCAACCTATGGTATATAATATGTTGTCAAAAGTATCAACGACTATGTCAAATAAAAACAAATTTTATATTGATCGATAGAAAACACTTTGCTCTTTCTAGATATCCTCTTTACACAACGTTCGAATAGTGTCTGAAGCAAGATAATACATTCACAAACTATCTACATTTTTAATGAAATTTCGTAACAAAACTGGTTCATAAGTTATTCTTCTCGCATATATTGACAGCTTTCGAAACAAAAATGATACAGCCAAGTAAAACTCAACAAGCTCTATCGAATACGTCAAAAAATTGCGGTATTTCTACACTATTCAATGTTTAGTGCTTTTCGTCTTCATAAACATAAATATATTTGTATATATTTCGAATCAGCATTGAATTCCGAACAAAATGGTCTATTTAGTTTTCCAACATTTAAATATTGGTTTTTCTCGTAAATTTCTCGTGTCGAAAAAAAGTTGAAAACTTTTTCCTCAGGTTTTGGGAAAACATAGTTGATTTGATGCAGAATTTCACGTTGAAGACGAATATCTAATTGCTTTTACTCTTAAGAAAACTCCAAGTTTTTGAAAAAAGACGAAATTCCGTAACGGATGATGCATTTAAACTTCTATTTGATACAGACATTTCTATTAAAAAATGACTTGATATTCTGGAAGCTCATTAACAACCGTATAACTTTTGCAAAGAGTATTTATTTGTATGTCATTTCATTTCTCAGCGAAGTAAAAAACTTCTATTTCCTTTAAAAAAAAAAGCGTCGCTTTTTTGAAATTCTGTAACGGTCGGTGCTGTATGAATAACTCATCTCTAGCTCAATAGAAATCAAATAAACTTTTGACTTGAATAAGGTCTCGGTGATCTCTATTCACGATAAAAATTCCATCGCGTTTGCTCTTATCGATATGTAGATATAGGTTGAACAAGATACAAAAAATGAAATTTCGTAATGCTCGGCCACACCCAGTTGCTACTCTGAAGGTAAAAGTCTATAATGATCGCATTCCTAAACGATCACTATCAAGATGCTATGAGAAATGTGAAACAAATTATAATGAAAACATTGTGAGTACGAAACCGACAAACTTCCAAATTTTCGTCTTGCATATCTCTAAAACTTACATTCACTCTATTTTTCTTCGAAACAAAAACCGTAATGTGAATTTCAAAAAAAAGAAAGACGGTCAATAACTTTGCCATCAATTGTTAATGATAATGGATTGATATCAAATAAACTTTGAATATCCCTCAGTTGAATAAGTATAATATGTTTGTATGTTTTCATACCAGATGTTTTATGTTCCATGAAAACATATATAATTCAAGACATTCGAAGAAAAGAAAACGAGTTAAATGGGTTCGTGTTGTTGTTAATTCTTGTGAAAGTTCAATAGCTTGAAATTTTTCTATATAATTACGATGTGCAGCAAGGAATTCTGACTAAAATTCAACAATAAAACGTATTTAATACTGTCGGAATCGTTTTCTTGCTCGACAATTATCAATACTATGGACAATATTAAACATTGATAAACTGTTTTCTGGTTTTTCCCTTGGTTCATTTAATTTTTTTGCTGTTTCACGTAATTTATCCAATGAATCAAATAATAATTGATAATCAACATGGTATATTGATATATATTTAAGTAAACATTGAATACGTTGGTTGTATCATCAAATACAGCTAAATATTGTTTACTTAATTCAATTTTATGTTTACGAATCTATTTAAAATAATTTTTATTTTTTACATTATCTATTTCATGCACTAAAATTACGTTAAGATAAGCACAAAAACGAAGATTCATTCTTATTATCTAAAGTTTGAATCGCTTCCATTGTTTTAGCAAAAAAAAATTGCACATGGTTCATAAACACGTAGAAATTCAACAGACTAAACACAGTTCATTCGAAAATACAAGTAATGCTGTATATAGATGAGTTAATGAAATGCAAGAAAATTAAACTAGTCCATCACTATTGCAATCAAAGTCCAATAATAATGTCCAACTCAGATCGAATCACAAGAATTTAACCTATGCCGAACAATACTGTACAATATGCATGATTAGTTTAAGTACGAGAGGAATTCCATAAAGATCTCTGAAAACTGAAATACATCAAAAGTACCAAATCTCGTTAAGCTCGATATTTTTTTTTATCGTTTTATTCGATTGATAAATAAGAAAAAAAAATGATGCATTCTTTTTGAAAACTATTGTTCGATTGTTGAGAAGCCAGTTCGTATCCAGACTTTGCTATCGTATCGAACAATCAAACAATGTTTATCAAAAAAGTATACATAGATTTTTTTCTTAAGCATATGACGAGTAAAATCTTTGAAAAATATTGAGTCTGTTGGTACTTGATCATTTTATAAGAGTTTTTGCAAATCTAATTTCTGCCATAATAACATTATTCGAGTCTATTAACAACAGAATATTTTCACAAGTAACTCAACAGACTCTATAATTTTTTTTTTAAGTAGTAAAATATATTTCATTGAATAATTCTCTCACTTGAATAATATTTAATAACATTGTAAAATTAATATTAATTTCATTCGATTTCTCTTAATTCCATTCCAATTGAATAAAAATTATATATGTTAATATTTTGTTCTCTATAACAATATTGTCATCTAATGCATTCTCATTTTTATCAATATTAAAATATTTCTGAATTTGGTGTATTATTAATTTGTTCATGTACATGTGAATGTTTATCTTCATATTTTTGTCTAATAGTTGTATTGAATAATAAATCAAGTAATGGACTATCATCATATGTTAATGGTAAAAGTAATAATAACGAAAAACCCAATAGTGTTGTTGTTTGATTATTAGTTAAATTAACTGTACACATGGATTCATCAGCGCTACCCATTTATCATAAAATCCACCAAATCATTAAAAACATTATGATATCTACATTATCTTAATCTTTTTTCCTTATTGATTAATACATACTTGTACATGAATAAAAAATTGTTGATCTTGATGTGTATAAAATAAAGGTGTCGATATAAATACATTTGTAGTTAAAATAAGAATATATGTTGTTTCAATCATTTCTGTTGTGATAAATCCACCTAACAAAGAAAGATTTTTTAAAACTTATATAACAGATTATTTTGATCTAAAATTTTGTTGATACTTAGAGCTGTTCATCCAAAGAATATTATTGTAAAAGTTTAATTGTTTAAAAACTTTCATTTTTTTTCAGCAGTTCATGAAATTGAATCAGCTTTTGAATTTTGTATTTTATAATAACAAATAAAATAAACAAATAAAAATAATAATAAGATAATATAATAGTTTAGCACGACATATTCGAATTTCATTTCATTTCACACGAGATACGATCTAAAAAATTTATAAACAATTCTTTACAAGATATTTTTCACCGATATTTCCATGTAAAATAATATGTGCCACTTGATCACCTTAATTTTTTCGAATAGATCCGCAAACGTAATAAATAAAGGAACGGCCTCTTTTTTTAATCTTCATTTATAGTACATATTAAAATACACAATTAACAAATCAATTCACAATCAAACTAGGTCATTGACGTTGAGATAATATAATTTTTGTTTCAGTTAATGTACGAATTGTTGGTTGTTCATCATTAATACATGCATATATATAACAATCCTCACAGGATGATAGAAAATGATTGATTTGAACGGGCAGAACCGAATTAACAAAACATGTAGTAACTCCTTGAAGTAAAGAAAAAAAATTTATTTAATTCAAAAGAAATGTATTAAAACAAAAACAACATAAAAAATGACAACATACCTTACATGCGAGCGGGCGTGTGTGTTCGTCAACTCTGTACACATACTGAACAAGTGAGAGAGAGAGAAAGAAATAGGCAAGAGAGCAATATTTCTTCTCTCGCCCATAAGTCATTGTTCATGTTATCATTGATGATCAATGATCACATATACACTTAATGTGTGAAAAACAATTAAGCTTATCCACACATATACATTGAGATATTTGTGATCGAATATATCTCAATGTATGTGTATGTCTAGATTAAAGCTTAATTAAAATCGACGTCTAATTATTTTCCAACGAGAAAAAAAATAATGAAAAAGGAAGCATTCGTGATAGTATAGTTCATATTTCATCCTTCCACAACCAATATAGTATGCCGCCTTAATTCAATTTTTTGGAATGAAAATGCTGTTTACAAAGTTTTCGGAGATTACGAAATCGAATCCGACGTCAGATTTTTATTAAGTTTTTGATTTTAGTCTTTCTTATTTTTAATCTTTTTATTGAAAATTTTTAAACAATTTTTCGTTTTATTTTTTTTTGTGTTTTAACATTCTTTTAATTTTTTCATTCTAATTATTT